CTCGAAATAACGGTAAAAATTACCGACGTTATATGATAAACGTGAGACGTAGCGAGGCCTCGGCATTGCGGCCTATGATAAAATATGCTTTTCCGTGCCACGCCGTGAAAATCCTCCGTTCAATTTTCATTGAAATCTAGTGATTTATCTACCCTCATGGGACAGACAGAGCCGTATTTTAAAAGCACGTTCCATATAAGTTCACGTTGGCACTGGCTTAACGTATAATGAATATTTGATCGAATGTACTCATTAGATAAGGCGTGAAGTTGGATCTCCCTAAAAGTACCTTAGAATGCCATCGTGTAAATACGGCAAACTCGCGATGATCAAAACCCTGGCCGGGCCATTTCAATAAAAGCCGTTATCAAGGTTTTTCCATAGGCAACGATGTGAGGACCCCGTAAGGTAGTCGCTGATATGGAGGGGAACGGGCTAAAAGAGACGAGAGGCGAAGAGAGAGAGAGAGAGAGAGAGAGAGAGAGAGAGGAAGAGGCAGAAGGAAGGAGCACATCCCTCTGTAGGTATTGAGGCCGGTCCCACCTGCCCTTGCAGGTAAGAGGCAGCCGTCGGGCCCCCGGCTGGCCTGCCTGCTTGCCTGTGCAGATAATAGATAGAGGAGGGAGCGTGAGCGAGCCGACGGGAGAACAGCAGTTCGGCAAGCGGGGGGAGGCAGCCCAAAAAGTCCTTTGTGATAGCCCGAGAGCACTGCTGCTGCTGCTGTTACTTTCGACAAAATCCGAGAGCCAAAGGAGACAGTCGAGTGAGTGTGAGAGAGAAAGAGAGAGAGAGAGAGAGAGAAAGAGAGACTAAAGGACGCGCGCGGATGCCTGCCTACGTTCGTGCTTCTTATCCTTCGGCGAAAGAAAGGAGATGCGGCGGCACGTGAATGGGAGTGAGCGAGAGGGGAGACGAAGGACTTTATGTGTCGAATGTTGTAACGGCGAATGTCGAGCTGACGGGGGATGCGGCCGCGATGCTGCCACTGCTGCTGCTGCTGCCGGTTTATCGACCGAGTTTAATCGTATAGGAGATTGATTATTTTACTTTTCTTCTCCCTGTCTCCATGTCCGTCTCTCTGTCTGTCTGTCCTTTTTCGCTCCTTTAACGCTCGATTCGCGAGCGCAGCCTGCCGGATGCGCAGCATTCGTTACGAGGTTCGTTCGAGGCGACCTTCGGACTTAGGAGGCAACTTTTACGGGAATTGCCACAAAAAGAAACGAGCACAATGCCGGGATGACTGACTGAATATGTCTTTTATCTGAGCTACGGGTGCCCACTTTTTACCCGAAAATCTCTGTCGAACCATTTGATTTAAGGTAAGGCTGTTTCCTCATTTGTATGGTTATTTGAATAAACGACTCTTTCTTCGAACTTTTGGCCTTTTACAGATTTTCTGTTAGCCACGTGATAAGAAAGATGTTCCTTAAACTTGCAAAAAAGCCCGCCTTCGAAACCATTGAAAATCAATAGCTCTTTTGTTAGCTATTGGCGCGCCTTTACCAACTCTTGCGCGTTTGCAAAACGAGCACATCCGCAAAAACAGCCCTTATCTTATTTACGTAAACGAATATGTTAAATAGGCGATAAAAAGTTTATTACATTCCCTTAAACTTAGGCAGAGAAAAAGGTGCGGAATAAAAGTATAACAGGAACAAAAGGTAGACCGTCCGTAAAAGCGAGAAAAAAGAGATTCCCTGAAGAAAAAGACAAACAGACGGAGAGGTAAAAAGCAGAGAAGGAAGAAGGAACGTCGGCTGCGGCTGTTAACAGATGTTCGGAGATAAGTCTGAAATTTTCAAAGGATTCCACCTCTCGCTCCTTTTGTTGAAGCGTTCCTCGAGCCGCCGTCGCCGCCGCTGTCGCCGTTGCCGTTACTACTATTCCGCTGCTGCTCTTTGATTCTCCAACTTTTCTTCCAGGTTATAGTTTCGGGGACAGAAGGAGGAAAGGAGGAGAAGGACGAGAGGTTGAGGGGGAGGGGGGATTGTACGGAGAAGTATCCATTTTTATCTCTCGCGCGTTTTTCACGAATGCACAATTGCGAGGGCGAGGACATACGAATTCCTATTCTTTCTTTCTCACATCCAAGGCGCTTGTCCCTCATTTGCTCGTGTCCAACAAGCTTTGGCAGAGGGGGTGGGGCAATACGAAAGAGAGAAAGGAAGAAAGAGAGAGAGAGAGAGTGACAGAGGAGTGGAGAGAGGAGAGAGGAACAACCAGAAAAAGAATTGATTTTCTCCGCCTGATGTGGTATGAGGGGGGGGCGCTTTCCATCGACAAAAGGGAAAAGCCTCGTAAGACGTTCACTACCAAACAGTGACCGCGCGATAATGGTTGTGCGAGATACGACGAGTTGTAAAATCACTTTAATTCCAGTTCACAGAAATTTGATTGCCCACTCTCTTTCTCTCTCTTTCTCTCTCGCCCTTTCTGTCCTACTTCATGAAAAGATGCAAACGCATTTCTTATAATTTTTACTTTTTATCTTTATTATTTTACTTGTTCCTCACGGCAATCTGACGCTATAATTTACAATTTTATGTAATTGGTATATGCCGATTGAAGAATACATTATTTAAAATTCAAAAAGAGCACGACTATTGCTCCATATTATCTTGAAAATTTAGCTTATCCAACACCACTGTACAGCGAAAAACACAATATGACGAGGATAAATAATGCTATTTAAGAAAATCCTAAAACTCTGATTAAAATTATCTGCCTAATTATTTAAGTATAAATAGATTTTGACAAGCACGATATTACAAATTAAATGAAACTGCATCCAGCATAATACCTGTCCACCGAGACCCTTAAAAATATTTAAATTATAATGTGTCTTCGATTTCTGAATGCGATGTAAGCGCAAAGCAGGCGAGAAGATGCCACGAGACGAGTGAAAACCAAAGGAAAAGAGCGAAAGTTCGCGGCACGTGGATACCCAAAGCGCACCGATAAACAAACTAAAATTCGAGCGCAGGTGTAGGAGGACTAAGAAGCGGCTTACAATGAGAGCCCGAGGGACTTGTCGCAGTGGTGCAGCGGAAAAGCCTTGTTAGTAAGGGAGGTCGAAATTATCATTACTGCGATAAGGGCTAAGCAGGAAGCGAAAATCGGATGAGGGGCCCAATGGTCAGCCGCGGCAAGGTGAGGAGGGTAGGTTGGGGGAGAGAGAAAAGCACCGGGACAATGGCCGAGAAATCCGTTATTTACGGGAGGGACACGCTTTCCCGAAAGGATCACACCGAGACACCTGAGGCGTCACTTCCATCGTGACCCTCACCCCTTTTGTCCCTTTGGACGCTTCTTGTTCGATGCCAAGAGATCTATTATTTTACTCCCACTTGTCATTTTCCTCGAGAATCGTCCTTTAAAATTTGCCATTTTCTCGCTCAGCCTCAAGGATAGCGATTTTTCACAATTGAAACTTTCTGTCTGACTGGCAAATTTCACCAATTCGCAGGTCATTCGTTCATTCAAACGTTTTTACGTGATGTTCGTTTGGTTTGCATTAATACGGTACATTCTCGACAAAATTTGAGCTGTCATTTAATATTTCATCATTTTAAATCACATATTTTGTCTAGTTGAAGAATATTTTTTTTGTGGTTTATTTGTTTTGTTTGTTTTATTTTATTTGTTTGCTTATTTTGTTTAGTATGTTCTATGTCTTTACTTTATAATTATTATATATAAAAAAAACTTTCTAAATTTTATAAATTGCTAAGAATGTAATGAGCATTACGAGAAATTATGAATATAGTTAATGCAGAAATAGTTAAATCCACTTACCTATTAGAATAGTAAATGTATAAAGTCTATTTATAAACAAATTTTGTAATGTTATGATTATAATGTCATAAAAAGTAAAAGAATTTGAAAGTCGTCGATGAAAGTAAAATTTAATTATTATGTGCTGTATACATTAATATTTTTTCTAAGTTTTTTAAAAAATTCCGAAAAAAATTCTACATAAATATATAATAGTAGACACTATATACGATAATCTACCGACAACACTCACTTTTTGTGATAAAGATATATATTAAGAGGTGAAATTAAAAGTATGAAAGGATATTAAGATTTATCAAAAATTATCATTTTGTTAAATCAAGAATAATATTTACGGATATAAACGCAATTTTGTAATACATTCCAATTTATAATAGAATGCAAAATAGTATAATAGGTGCAAAATAGAAAATACCAATGATTTATTGTAAGTACGATTGAAAGTATAAATAAAAAATACTTTCATAAGTAGGTTAGAAAGTAGTAAATTATATAATGGTTAAAATTTTCTAGATTTTGACAATTTTCGTAAACTTCCGATAATAAAATAACTATAAATACAAGTGAAGTGTTAACGATAATTGAATTATTACTTTCTCGAGTTGAAAATTGATATGTTAAAAGCCGTAAAATGATGCTGGAGAAACTAGAAATTATATTATGTAAGCTAAGCTTAGAAGAATAATAGTAATTTTCAAATACAACTTTAAGCAACTTTAAGGTGCAAGTGTAAATACAAACAGAAGGAAAAGTAAAAAAATAATTTAATTAGATAAGTTTTCATTGTTACAATATTCTAACGGACTGATATTCAGCTACACATTAATTAATATTAACATAGGATTATGGATCGGTAACGAATGATTACCGAATTTATTAAAAAAATTCTTATTATTAGCGCGCAATAACACTAACAACAGATTAATATTTAATCAACCAGGCGGCACCGCCCTCACCGAGAATTATAATTAAAAAAGCCAGAAATTATAAACTTATGTAAAATAGCCAAGTGGTGCGGATATTTACAAGACTCGTTTAAACATAATTAGTGGCAAAACTATAACAACTTATTGGCAAAAACGTACATAGCACTCGGAAAACATTACATTGCCCCGGCACTTACCGTCTATTTGCTAAAGCCTATATACAGAAGAGCTCAGTCCCAAGATTTTCCCAATTCCTTGGGCCAACATAATCATGCTTACCTTGGTATCGATGTGCGGGGCTATGTTGGAGCGTTTTCCAAGGATGGAGCAGTCGGTCGGCGTACCCTGGGTGTCCCTATAGAATCGTATCTGGGGCGATGGTCTACCGTCGGGGCTGACATTGGCGGCGGCGGCGGCGGCGGCGGCTACAGCTGCCTCTACTGCCGTTATGCCGATCTGCCGGTTGTTGATGAGAGAGCGTAGGAGGTTGGTCGCCTCGCCGCTGAAGCCGTTGTTCGGCTTATCCCCGTTTGTCCGCGTGATCTCCAGATTACGATTGCTGCAGCATCAAGGTTTGTTCTTTCGTTATTTGTGGTTGCTTTGAGCGCGAGCTATCACCTCTGCCTGCACACGCGTGTATCTAAGCGCGCAAACTCGCATACTCTCTTGTCTATTATGCAATCATATCATTCAAAATTGCCTTTAGAATAAATTATCAAAGCAGTTTTATATATTGGATTTTACGAACAACGTGAAGCTATGAAAGTAGTTTTGAGCGTTCGCAGTTTCTTAGGAGAAAATCCAATCTGGTTTTGTCATTTACCGCTTAACTTGAGCATATAATGTTCATTAATTTTTCAACATTTTCCGCGATATATGAGATTTTAAACTGGTTGCTTTAAATAAAGAATCGTTATTAAAAGCATTTAACGGCTAGTTTAAAATCTCTACAATTTCCTAGATTACTGACTTGCATTTCTTCATCTCTATTGCCCATACTTTTCAGTTATTTAGCCTTTAGAACAGATAATATAAAAATTACCGAACGCATTGATTGACGAAATTGAGGAACAAGTTCTTTTACAATATTTTAATTGCTTTATAAAGCAACAATATCGTGATTCTCAATTAATTATCCGAAATAAGCTTTTAAATAAATAAATAAAAACAAGCTATAATCTCATTATTTTAACACTAGAAGGAAGCTAATAAAGTGTAAAATCGATAATATCATTGATAATAAAGCTAATCGATTCACATAAACTTTAACTAGTACCATTAGTAGAGTCCGTTTTTATCAGAAATAAGCCATATATCTAGCTAATGATTCGACCATGAAAGATCTAGATAAGATTCTCTACAGAAATTGCAAATAATTTTTTAAAGGAAAGTAAAGAAGATATTGTGTTTCCCGTATTATAATTATAAGTAAGAAAGAATTTATTTATCTAGTGTGAGTAATGTCATCTTTGACGATTTATCACAAATTTACATGTATTTTTAGATATTATTATTATCGATTATGGTTGTTTTAAATCTATGTTTACGAGCTCACCATTTAGCCATTTGAAATTAAAATTTTCAAATGTACAGAAATACTTTTATCTATCTTACCAATCCAACAAATTTAAATTTGGCTGGTCTGTTTTTTTTTCTTTTGAAGTCTAGACAATCTGTTAAATTAGATTTAAGAGCCTTTGAGAGAAGGACGAGCATCACTTTAGATTCGATTATAGAATAAAACAGACGATTTACGTTACATAGACGACGATTGAATAATTTTCATAATCGTGTGTAATCTAATCCGACCTTTGATCAAGTGCCACATCGCAGTATCCTAAGGTTGCAAACTACAAGGGCGTATAATGATTGTAAGCTTACCTAGCAAGTGCTTGCCAGAGTTTCGTCGTCTCCTGATCGACCTGGGTATCCGAGCAGTTACTCTCCGGCGTGTCCATCCTGTTGATGGGACTGACAACGCCGGGGGGACTGCTGCTACCCTCTCGTTTGCAAGTGACGCCCTCAAGGCTGTTACTGTTTTTCTGAAGCTTGGGCCTCTTGGTACCAATACTCATGTCGTAGCCGTTCTCTCCACCATCGTCGCTTTCCTCCGCGTCCTCGTCTCTATCCTCGATCTCGAGCCTGTCGGGATCGGAGCTGTTGGAGTACGTGTCATCTTCGAGAGCTGTCCCTGTCCCGGCCTGATCCTCCGTAATGACTCGCTGGGTCGGGTGGGTCTGATGGGCTTGCGGATGGTGCAACGTCGACTGTTGCTCCACGTGATGGGTGCGAGTCTGGGGTAAAAGATTTTGATTGATACTAGCAGGCGAGTTGGGCGCGTCGTTGAAGAGGGTCTTGTTCAGCTGGATGAAGGATTGTAGCGAAGTTAGCTCGCTGCCCGACTTTACGTTGTTTAGGGACTTTTCCTGTAACAAATAGAGAAATCATTTGCTTTCGTTTGCGCAATCATTGGTATGTCGCGTGCAAAGCTCTCAACGTGAAATAAATTGCCGCCGGATATTTAGTTACATTATTTTAATTTTAATATACTTACGTAAGATCTTTACACAGTCGCACATATAAGTAAGCAATTGCGGCGCTACATAGTTCAATAAAATGACGCAGTTTCAATAGTCCGAGATATCAGAATGTGCTTTACAAAGAAAAGACTGTATTTTATGTTCAATCGCTTACACGTAGGTTAAAATAATAAAGAATGGACATACGTGTCGTACTATTTATCTCATTAGCAAAAACGACTTACCTAGTTACGAATTTATGGATAAAAAAATTTTACATTAAATCCCAATAGTTCGTATATTTGATATTTGAAATATATTAGAGTCATAGTCCTATTAAAATGAAAAAGCATAAGTCCGTAGAACAAAGTTAAAAATATAATCTCCGACTAAAATAAAGAGCAATCGTGAATTCCCGATCAGCAGACTACGAAATTGGTTAAAAGCGGCTTTATTAGTTCATAAATCGACTAACAAAAAAAAACAGTCGTATATTGGCCAGAGTAATTACGCGAAATTAATCGGGTTTTTGCAGAAAAACGGCTGAGCTGAGAAAGTGAAAAGTACGTCGGGCGTACGTCAATATCGCCTCATTCAATTACAGCGAAGTCATATCGGCGAGGGTACAAGGGAGAAAAGATTTCGATCGCCCATGATGTTTTACAGGTCATCATTGGGGGCGTTTCATCGTCATCGTCATACATCTCCCCGTCAACCTACATAAGCTAACTTGCTCAGTCAACTCGACTTCCTGCCTCGCACTCCATCCATGTCGACTCTCTTTCGTATAGCATCATCGTCGTAATGCAGTGACATCAACAGCCGTCCAAGAACTAAGGAAAAATGCACTAAAGAAATAAAAAGGAAGCTTGCACCAGAGTGCGTTTAACCAGTGGTAGTAGCGATAGCAGCAGCAACAACAGCGGCGGCAAAAGCAGCAGTCAGCGGAATAAGATTATATAGCTGTGGCGCCGATTAAGAGTCGCGGCAGCACCAACTCGCGGGAAATCGAGTTAATGCGCTGACACACATACACGCGCGGCCAAGTCAACTCTCTTCCGAGTAATGATGCAACTGAGAATGTGCAGTATGTGCAGGCGGTTGTCCGCTCAATACACGCGTGCGTGTATGTGAATATATATTTACGTGTATATGCGGTCGATTGCGATACCGATAAGGCCGCACTTGCGTTGTGCGCCTTCTGGATGTGTGCACCGACCTTTTTCCTTTTTTCTCCTTTTCTTCGCGTGTTCATTAAAGCTCCTACTTCTTTTTCGCAGTCGAGGCTGTTTATATACATGTATACGTATTGGAAAATGCGTGTACTGCGCGGGTGTTGTTTTTCATGCTGCGCTTGATGAAATGTCACACGAGGAATTTCTAAAAGGGTTTAAGATATCTTTACTTTTAGCCATTTTATTATTGATCTTTACTTGTGACTTTGGTGATTTACATAGAGATATTAATGATTCGATTGACAAACATAATTTTATGGCAGTCAAAGAAAAAGTTTAGTAGCCACGGAAGTCGAATACACGGTAAATCGTGAAATAAAGTGACGTATATCTTATACTGATCTACTTTTGCAAAGATTACGTTGTATACTATAAAAGTCTGCGCAAAATACAATAATTCTTTACTTTACTGTTAGATTCTTAATGTTGAATGTTTTTCAAAGCTTTTATATTTAAAATTATTTAATAATAGACATATTAGTTTTATTTTATAAAACTATTAGCATTTTATGTTTCATGATCAAACAATGTCCAGTCATCTCTACTCGTATATTTTTATTATTGAAATTAGCACTAATCTTGTAGATTTTTTGTTAATATCTGTTTGAAGGTGTTTGTTCTTTTTAAATATATACATATATATATTTAATCTTTATTATTCAACGTACGATATTGACATTCAATGGATAGGCTGCAGCATATACATGCGCACGCACACATATTTATACGTAAAATGTAAATAATGATTACTTCATTCGTAGGTCTTCTTTACGCCTACTCCGTATTTTTATAATTGATGATTGCATTTCCGTTCTGCACCTTTATTGTTGAAGGATTCGAATGATAAACACGCAACACTGTAATATATCACCCATTAATTTTTGTTATTTCATAACGAATGAATATTTTAGACGACCAAATCCTTACAATATGAAGATTAATACAGCGAGTGATGATATTATTCAGAAATCAATTCTATTATTTTATTCTATTAACGACCCTTTGCTTTGACCACAATGGAATTCAGCCTACTAGCGATCGATTCAACCTTACACAGCCATTTTCATATATTGCATCAGTAAACCTATTCACCAATGCAAAATAATGGCAATGCGACCCGAGAATCTTTCGCAGATAGTAACAACGAAGTGTTTTTACACGGAGCGACAACTCGAGCAAACGCCCGCGAAAACTTTTAAAAGGAAGGCGAGCGCGATTATGTAAGTAACTGCGGTACAAGGACTCTTTCGCTCCCTTTGTCGGGTAATAATAAGCCTTCGATGACTATCTTATCGTGCTGGCGGAGGACTTGAGATTTAATGTACGCGGTAGTGCCCAGGCAATACATGTATGCGCACGCATACAAACGCACGCAATGTAATGAGATCATAAGTTAATCTACTATACGAATTTGATAAAAGCGACTCGCTCCTTTTTATATTCCATGTAACAGCAACTTCCATGCGTTGCGTCTAATGCATCCACAATGTTGATGCTTGGCGCGTGAATTTCAGTTTGCCAAGTGCAAATCTTATCGCACGATCGTTGCAACGACCATTTATTTGTGTGGATTCACACTTTGTCTTAGTGTACATTTATAAATTTCCAATGCACGTTGCTGTTTAATATTAATTATTTTGAGTATAAGTTAACTTTCAAGCATATAAAATTCTGCCGCAAATTATGATAAAACTACGCTCTACAATCTAACAGGACTTTGCAATAACTTAAAATTGTTCATAAAAATAATTTTATTTTTTGATCAATCTGCATTTATAAACTTTAAAAGTAAAGTTGAATTATATTCGTATCACGAAAAATAAAAATACAAATGAAAGTTAAATTTTCAATACTCTTAAAGTAGAAAATTAATTCACATTTTCAAATGCAAACTCACATAATTACTTTTAATCTCGGTCAATCATTTCAAAAACAATATATTACTTTTACACGGACCTATTCTGCACTGAATTGTATTTCATTGTATTGTAGTGCTAAGTGATATAAAAATTACTGTACTACAAGGAAGCAAGATGATTAATTTAAACACTAAAATAGAATAATTTAAACACTAAAAGCAGAGAATTTATTCCAATTACCACTGTGAAACACATATGAATGTCTTAGCTATGTAGTACTTGATGTGAAATCCCTTTTACTTTGCAATAAATTTCTCATCTTTTGAGCGTTTTATTTGCAGCTCTTTATTTGTAGATGTAAGTAACCCTTTAACTCAAATATAAGACATAGTTGACCCGAATCTTATTCTTATTAATATAAGACCTAGACAATTATTACGTGATTATCAAATTAAAATTAAATCATAATTAGAAATTGTTATATATATTACTATTATTAAACAAATTTATTCTAAATGTTATAAATCTTTTAATTATTAATTTACATTGTTTAGGAGTTAAAAATGTTTTTGAAAAATAAAAAATACATTATAGTTGCATTTACATTTTATTCTAAATATGAACAAGGTCCGATTGCAGATTTGAATTTTCCATTATAAGTATTCAAATTTTAAATTCTATGAGTATTAAAATGATTGAGTTTTGATTCAATATATTACAATGCAAAATGATCAGCTGATAAAATATAAATACATATTGATCGTATTTCTAGAAAATTACGATTGACAGAAAAATTATTATTATCGGTGATAATTAATTTAAAAATAATGAATGTATATATAGTTCAATTTAAGTTTCAAATAAATAATCATATTTTAATAAAACAACAATATTACAATAAAACTATCTAAGTGATATTATGCAGATATTCTAAATATAATAATAAATTTAGTAAAAAGTAGTAAAATTCTCGATTAAAATATAAATTTATATTTTAACAAAAAATAAACAAGGTTAAAAGCAGGCAGTAGCACAGTCACGAAATATATAATATCTAACAGATTCGAATTTCATTTTATAAAAACGCTACTGCTTACAATAGTTTATACAATAAAACAATCGAATATATACACTGATTCGAACATTTTATATAATACTTAAAGTATTATGAACGAAAATTAAGAAAGAGTTATATTAAAAATAAAATTTTTACTCTGTCAACAAGTTATTAAAATCTGTGCTATTTTCACTCTGGTCAAAAGCAAGAATTTACAAAATATTAATACTGGTAGCAGTGTTAGAAAGATAAGCAACTCTTTCTTATAAAACAAATCATTTAGTTAAATATAGGTAATTGTAAATAAACAATATTATATTGGTTTTATATAAAAATAGTATGATAAAATATTAAAAACATATTAAAGTATAAGTTATTACGAAGTTCTGTTAAATAAGATTCCATGAAATTATAATTTATAAGCATTAAAACTTATTACTAGCTACCCACAGTTACACGATATCCGTTTGTATATCCTTTTTAATACTTATGTTAATAACAACAATATTATATTATTATTATTATTGTAAAATTATATAAAGTACTTTTCATCATTTTTAAGCAGCATTATATATAGGTGTGTGTGCCTATGAATATAATAATACCTGTTAATAAATAAAATTCATAATACCACCAAAAAAATTGTTAGATAAAAGTAATAATAACAATGAAATAGTATAGAGTTCTCACTAAATTTCACAACGGCATTCACATCTTTATAATTCAGTCGCATTGGAGGTGAGAAAGAGAAAGAGGGCGAAAGCGAAGGATGCTTTTACATACCAGTTCATCCTGGGAGGACAATTGTTTCGCATAGTCTAAGTACTGTTTGAGTATGACGTCGGATTTCCGGGAGACCTCCCGAAAGTTGTGTAAAACATCCAACTTGTAGACGCAGCGGTGGCAGATGATCGGCGGTAGTGAGTCTCCATCTTTCACCTGCAATGAACCGTCACAGATAATAATACATTTAAAAAATGTTTGGTTCCCGATTAAAGTCCGTAATTCATAAGCAACCGTAATTTTAAAATAATTAATCTTATATGATAAAAAAATCTATACAACGTTTTCTGTAATATTACTTATACAGATTGTGCGGGCACGATTCAATAATTGCCGAAATTATGGAAAAACTTATTTAAGATCTTATCGATCGAGTGTATATTTCATTGTTACAATATAACATATTTAAGAAGATTGTATAGAACGAATATTATAATACGAAATGTATGTATGATATATAGTAAACAATGTTAAATTAATTTGGATAATATTTATTAATAAAATTATATTTTTACAAACAGTAAATTGAGCATTTATATTCTTTTATTTTTAATATATAAATTGAAAACAAAATGTACTTCATTGTTATATATGATCCGTTGTACTTTTTACTATATAGGACAGAACATTCTTTTTAAAGTCATTTCCTACGCGATGTTAAGATCAGTTCTTTTAGCTTTCTTTATTTCAAAACTCAAATCAATTGTACTACGGGAAGATATTTGGTCCTTTTAATGATTATTATTCTTTAATTGCAACTGTCGTTGTGTTCAGCTTAGGTTATACAGTTTCGTTTAAAAATAAAATAAAATAAAATATATAGTACTAATATAATTATGCTAGTGATTATTTTCGTTACATAATTTCATTTAAAAGTTATAATTATTTTGTTGTTCTTCTTTTTTTAAATTGTAAAAAGACATAATATAACTTTCTTATTTATTACAAAAAATCAGTTGCTACTGGTAATGTATCGTCCAATTTCAATTATGTATCACGGGATGTCCCAAATAAACCCTAAAATAATTGTTTAAAATCCAATTTATAGCTTGGTTATGTAATGCATTTAAAATTTGAACTTAATTCTTGGGTAATTAGGCTTTTTCACTATTATTACAACCTTAAGACATACGATAGAAACAAAAGTCTTAAATATAATGAAAGCGGAAACATACATCGCAGGAAATCTTAAGAAGCATCCTAAATTTCGAATCTGACACAGAATATTTTAAATAAAAAAAGATTAAAAAAAAATTCTATGATAGAAAAGTAATATTCTTAATAAATATATGAATCCTCTTGGAATTAAGTATTATTATTATTATTATTATTATACATTGTGTTTATTTTTATTTAATATAACATTTAATAATATAAAATAATTCAAATTGAAGAAAATATTAATCCTCGAAATATATGTATGTTTGTATAATCACCATTCCGATACAAAAGAAAAATTACTTGATTAAAAAACAAATTGTACACGAAAGGGACAACGTCTCAATTGAGAATAAATGTATTTTTCAGTAAGTAATTAAGTATCTTCGAATCGATATTTTTTTTTTTGATAAAATCTAGTAATTCGCTGGAAGATAATATTTATTTACGTCCGCCTGGTATATATCAATCTAGATCATCTACAACGCAGTTGCCGCATATATAAATAGGATATTCCTTTCATGACAAGACAAATTCCTATTGACACGCCGAGAGGAATTTCCTTTTATGACAAGAAAGAATAAAAGGAATAAATTTTCTAGCTGCCGCGACAACTTTTCCATCGCTTTTTGCAATCGGACACGAATGTCAGATTTTCCACGACGTTCGCTGACTTGCGAAAATTATCGAAACTCACCGAATGCACTTCTCTGTATGTCGCGTCGGTAAATTCGTTGTCGTCGTCGTCGACGTCGACGTAAACGACGTCGACGACGACGACGTCGGTGTTTAACTTTAGCTTATCTCTGCACCGCATGGGGTGGCACTATTTTTAGCCCCCGAAGCCCAAAGGACGGTTTCTCTTACCCTCTCTCCCTCGTTCTAACCATCTGTCTCTTTTCCTCTCTCTCTCTCTCTCTCTCTCTCTCTCTCTCTCTCTCTCTCTCTCTCGCCCGCGCGCGCGGATATATTCGCGCTATCGCTAGGATATATTCGCCAGCTAAAGCGTTTCTAAATCCACTCTCGTTGTATTACTCGCTCGCTCGTTTCCGACACTGAATAAGCTATATAGTACCAGGCGGAAAGGCAGGGGAGAAGAGAACTTGAGAGGGGAGAGGGAATGAGGGAAACCGATGCTCATTTTGATTGTATGCTAAACTAATCTAAACGCAATGTTTCTATATATTTTCTGAGCTCAGAAATACAAAAAATGTTGCCATTTTACATATTGTTTGCATTACAATATGTTTTAGATAAAACACATATAAAAAAATATTTCTATTTATTGCATACATGTACTTCCTAATATAATAAATAAGAATTTACAGCAGTATAGATGTTCCATTTTAAATTTTTCGTGTAAGGTATTGAAATGATAATATTTATTAAATTAAATTAATCTATTAATTTTTATTTAGTATTTTATATAAATGTATCATTGAACATGTGATCTTTGTTTAAGAAACTTTTAAAAACATATTAATGCTTACACAAACAAGAATAAGAAATTTTAAATATGAAGTAAGATAGATGAAACTTTAAATTTACCGATTGAAACTTAGTTTGATTATAAGAATGGTAAAATTTCTTATTACACTACTAAAAATGAATATAAGGAAATTAAACACAATTGCCTTAATTTATGTTATAATTTTCAAACAGACATTATTCTGCTATAGAAAAATTGTTTTTTCGTATTTTTCTATTTTTATTTCTAGTCCTGCAAACATTGAATATAATAACAATGATAATAATAATAATAATAAAAAATAATAACAATGATAATAATAATAATAATAATAAAAAATAATAACAATGATAATAAAAATAATAATAATTTATCCCTGACATAAAAATTAAAATATTAATATCCAACCATTTTCTAAAATCATAGTTTAAAATTGACAAAATGTAGCATTATTTTTTTCCGCAAAATTGACATTATCTCGTATTTTGTTTGGTAGAATTTCTGAAAAATTACTGCATAGACTAAAGAAACGATAATTTATAGAAAAACTAATCTGAAAACGAAATAAAACATTATAGATGATCCTAAAAGTTATTGGAAGCAGATGAGCCATAGTGAATGAATGAAGTAAAGGGAGAGAAAGACCCTCGGGTTGTTGTACAAAATAGCAGTGTTTGTGCAAAAAGTGCAGACGCTCACGAACCGGAAAAAAATACACCTCTAAAAGGTCAAAAGTCGGAGCTCTTAATTTATAATTAGAAAGGTATATGTACACGTTGTTTGCTTTTTCCTTTAAAAATTTTTTTTTCCGAGTCACAAAATCTAAAAACTATTATAATTGCTAGTTTCATTAAAATGATGCTACATTAATTATAAAATTATATTTTTCGTGCGTGTTAGATTCGTAAGTTCAACAATGTTGAGTCGACATTTAGCTCGCACGTACGTTTAAAATGAATGTTTGGTAAATTGTAATGTCCATTATCGAAATTTTGTATCGAATCTTTGGTCACGATGTTTTTCTAATGTGTTTAATCAACTTGTACGTAAAGTGCACGGAAAACCGTTACTTAAACTTCCAAGATCCTCTAACAAAGCGCTTAGAATCACTTATAATACATACTGCAGCATCTATCCCTTAGCCATGTAAAGTTTGATCGTGTAGTTGTGTATCTCTTCAATATACCATGATAAGGCCATAAGAAATCAATAAACCTTCTACACAATATACGTTCTACATTGTTATAGCTAGTGATAAATTAGATTCGAAGCTAATATTCGTAAAAAAAATCAAGTAATATTGTTAAGAAATGAAATATTGAAAGAAATGTTTAATATTTAATTGCAGTTATTTTCCATGAAATGTAGATCTTATTAAAAAATTTTAACAGATAAACTTGACAACATGAATTTCACAACAAATTGTTTTTATATCAATATTGAAAAATTGTTGTTGCATAAGGAAAACGTACATCGAGTTAAACAATTATGCTACTAAAATTTTACAAATAGTTTTTAAAACAATGTTTGCTAAGTTACGAGTAGGTATATCGATAAAATTACATTAACGTATTTTTAAGAGGCTAACGAAGAGCCATTTATCTCTCTAAAGAAAAAAATCTATATGTGTAGTAAAAATAAACTTGTTATTCGATTATTTATAAAATTATATTTAAAAGAAATATATTAAAATAAGCATTGATCTTAAATGACGTCACTCTCGAATATTATAGCTCTGATATAGGTACATTGAATTGCTTCATTGGATAGACGGAACAATGACTGAGTATTTCGTTGTAGGAAGTGATTATGAAATAAGCTTTAATGCAAAATTCATTTAAAACTATAATTTACCATAATTGAAGCACATTATAAATCCTAGCTTATAATCTTTCAATAGTATATTAATATACTTATACAATATTGTCTCTTAGTAATAGAGATTTATTTTACTTTTGGAGCCATGTGTAAGGCAAACCCCGACCGATTCCGTTTTAATAATACCTTATATATATATAATAATAATAAAAAAATTTTCAGTTAAAAATTTAAAAATCTTTCAACTATAATATAAGTTTATCACAATAATTAGTGGCTTTTGCTTTCAAAATTTGAAGATAAGTTTGAAGATAATTTCTCAATGACAAATAAACATATCTAGATACTGAATTTATAAATATTTGATACAATTCATCGATCACGCGATCTATTAAATAATATTTAGGTTAATAAATTTTTATATTTTCTGAAGTTCATCAATTTTCTAAAAAAAAAACTAAACTTGAAAATATCTATTATTATTAGTAAATGTAAATTCGTAATCAGTAAAATTATTTAGAAATGATGTAAGATTTGCTCTAACATTAATCAATTCAATAAAATGATCCAAAGGTGCTAATTACGGTTGAGTTTGAAAATACTACACAATCAATAGATTAAATCAAATTAATACAAGCAAAAAAATTAATTTTTGATTTAATTCAAATTGATAGAAATTAATAGAACAGCATAGGTAAAATATTGGTTTTTC